GCAACCCCCCCCCCCCCCCCCCCTCCCCCCTCCTCCTGGCTTTTCCCAGAAAGTCAGAGGAGGCAGGATTCAGGATGCGTTTTGTGTTCTTTGACAGTTTCCCTTCACCTCTCATAAGAGGAGATCCAAGCTTCCAGCAACATATCTCATCTTTGTTTGATTCAGGCCTAGCTCTGCAGCCCCACAGTTGTGCCAAGAAGATACTATCGGCAAACTCTATCCATGTTAACAATGTGAGCTGTCTTGCTACATACTGCTGGAGGTATTTGATGTGATCAGATCATCTTTCTGTGAGCTTAGCTATGGTGAAGTCCTTCTCGTTTCACCCTGCAAATGCTGCCTGTGTCTCACTGGGTCACATGATCTTAATTAATCAGACATGTTGTGTTTTGTGTTGTTGCCAAATTGTTTTCAGGCACAGCAAACAAAACAAAAAAAAATTATCTCCCTCTTTGCCTTGTTCTGTTTTGTATGTGGCTTTGAGGCTATCACTGTTAAAATTCACCACATTTCAGTGTCCTCTGAGATTTATGTTCATGAGCAGTTGTATGATGGAGTGTGTGTAAACTGGAAGTGGAGGCTTGGCTAACATTTGTAGGAGTTGTGAAGCAACAGCAAGTGTTGAACAACGAATACTTAAAGTCATGATGATAGTGATTGCACAGCTGATTATTATTATTATTATTTTTTTTTTCCTCTGCCAGTGTCTGGAAGCCTTTGACATTGTTAGATTTCTTATCTCTGTCACTAATTATCAGCTAAAAGACACCGCAGTATGCAGACAATAGCCTTTTTTTTAGTATTTGGGCAAGATAAGCTAATATTAGCTCTTAATCAGTGCCAAAAGTGCCATGGATTGAAACTGGAAAATAACAGTCAGCCATTTGCCATCTCAGTAAAAGAGGAAAATGAAATGGTGTAGGATCAGCTGGCTGGCCCCTGAGGAGAAGGAGAGAAAGGGGAGAGAGATGAGGAGGAGGAGTGCTCTTTTTCACTGTGTGTGTCAGTGTTGATTAGGTAAGAGATTGCCTCATGTAATGACACGGCATGGCGCTAGTGGTGCAGAAACACAAACAATGCATACCAGTGTTTTACTGCGCACACCCCCTGCAGCTGCCTGCCTGACGATGTTTATATAGACATACACACTCTGTCTAGAATATTTCAGCATCTTTAGATGGTGCCCTTTTTTAAGCGACGCACATTTACTCCATCTGGAAGCCAATAGCCTTTTTCTTCTGTGTGCTCTTTTTCTTCTGTAGCGCAGATGAAAGATGGTGGTGATTAAAGGAATGAAGCACAATAGAGTCTGTGCAGTTTTCTATCAGCACTCGTTGTTACTATTGACAGTAGTTTTTTTTCCCAGCACATTCATATTGTTAAATCGGCTACATAACCTGCCAAACCCTCTGCTCCGTTAACTTTATTCATAAGGAAACACATA